AGATTTGATTTACTTTTTACAGTATCTAGAAATTAGCATAATAACAAAGGGTCACAAGTTCTTCAAGTGAATACCTTTGCGTGAATCGAGTCCGTTTGCACATTTAGAGATGGTTTAAGTTTTCATATAAAAAGAATGCATCTCCTTAATTAATTGAATACCAGTAGATTGCAGGATCAAAAATGATGATGCTACAAATTAACTGATAATAACACACATACTTCAGTGAGTAGATTCCACAAATTGGTTTTCAACAGAATGGGCATGACTATGAAGAGTTGCAAAAGGATTTTCAATCACATTTCAAGGAGCATCAAAAATGATATAAATTCACATACCAGTTGGCCATCTGCCAGTGAGAAGTTTCTTATCCAAGCAATGTTCTCCAGCACTGTTGGAAAGCTAGCTAAGTCTGATGAAATCATGGGCAGAATCTCTGCTGTATTCCTGATAAAGGAGATTAAAACCACTTTTCACCCACTTGTTACCAATAAAATTAGGGAGTGATAAATTGCAGCCCAAATTGTGGGATTCTAGTGCTGTTTGTTATCAAGTGTGGCCAAAATTATTACATCTAAAGATATTGCTTAGACTGCAGACAGTTCTCTGTAACTTGAATTTTCAATTGAAAAGCCTTTTTCTGCAAATGGACATCCCATGGAAAGTTAAAAAAACCTTCTTACTTGTGATGTGCTGCATCTATTTCCAAGAATTCTCCTACAAAGGGCTGTTGTAATCTAGAGATGAGTTCATCCTTTTTCTCAATGATGGTAGACAACTGACCAGAGATTTGTTCAAGCTGGTGACACCTACTTCCTGCAAATTAAGTGAAGGAACACATGATGGATTAGACTGCGAATTTGAGGGGTTTTTTTAAGTCTAGCTGATGGTTAATTATCAAATATTAAAATAAATTAATAAATAATTCCCGAATTGACCACTGTGCCAATGGGGTTTTTCACTTACGTCCACGAATAGAGCTTTTTGGGCGACATTATAACCAAACAAAGAAACAAATACTATAAATGAACATACATGTAACATGGTTTAAAATAACAGCTGGCAGGAGGCAGACCAACTGGTTATTTATGAGTTCATGAATAAAAGCATATGAATATTGCAGACTGATTTTTTGCATACTATATTTAATACTTTGGATGTCATCAAAAGAAATACTGAAATGA